CTTTAACTCGCAATTTTTTATTTTAATTTTCATGTAAAGAGTATTTTCCGTTAATTTCGAGCCCTGACATCGTAGTTCTTCACATTCTGCGACATGTTGTGAATAAAGAAGTCGTACCTAAGTGAATTTGTACTTTACTAGGCCTACTTTACTACAGACGACTTTCGTTTTCATACTAAACTAGTTCCTGCATATAAACGAACTGCCAGTTCATAACACGAACGTGTTTCGTTCATAGCTTCACAGTGCTTTTACGACTGTTAAAGATATGCTCTTTATTTTTACAGTAAAATATATTTGAAGCAATCATACATTGGGAATTTCTACACTTAAATTTGGGAAAAAAAGTGCCTTTTTCATGTTGGGAATGGGGCCGAATATCGGCCCCAATTATAGAGAATTGAGAGCCCTGTTTAACTATCATAAGTGTTTAATTATTGAAATACATCTTGCTATAAAATTTCCCAAAAAGTTGTAAAATGTCGTAAAATTCCCAATGGCATGGGCCTGGGCCCCATTCCCAAAGTGGGGTGGAAAATCCCTGCCTCATTACATCTTTACTTACATGAATTTCATACTTCCAACCACTAACTGCTTCATCAGTCATTATTTTTGTAAATGACACTGTCAGTCCCTCTCTGAAAAATCTTTGACAAGGTTCACTTCTTGTATCTAACCCTAGTGACAGAAAATAAAGTCAATGAGAGTCAAAATATAAACATTACTCAATTATATGGAAAAAAAAAAATTAGATGAACGTTTCATTACCTTCTTTGCACAGTTTAATGGCAGCATCCAGTAAAACCTCTAGTTCTCCTTTAGGTAGCACTGGAACCACCCACCTAGGTCTATTTATCATTTCATCTAGCCTTCCTAACTCCACAACTGGAAAGTCTGGCTCTTGGTCATCTCTTAGCTCCTCCAGATCAATGGACACATCTGCAGGAGCCACTTCATCGGCCACCATTTGTGACCCACTTGACTGAGGCCCCGCAGAATTCTGGGTAGATGAAGGGGGTACCGCAGTTGTTCCTTTTTGTAGTGGAACATCTTGTGGGGTGTCTTCCCCTGACTGACCCCCTTTCATTACAATGGTCATGGTCACTTGACCAAATTCTGCAAACAATAAGATACTGTCATAAGTTGGTATTATATGGTAATGCTTAAAAGTTTATACAGTTTTTCATAATAATCCCAGTAGAAACATTGTTTCACTCAAAAAATACTAGTATATATAAAAATAAAATTCACTATTAATTTCCTACACATGTAATCATGTAGAAGGAGATGACTTGAGTCACCTCCAAACAATAACATTATGTGCATAGAATGCCTCATTCAACCTGCTGAATTTCTTAAATTACGCCAATAGCTTATTTTCCCACAACAACCGGAAAACAAATGCACATGTCCTACAAAAGAATAGCAAGCCAGGGGAATGATATCACAAATTCTTTTCAGAAAAAACGTACAAATTATTCTATGAAAAAAATGAAGTTCGAAGCAAAATTATCCACTTCCATGCAGCGCAACACCGTACATAACGATAACTTTATGTAAAATCATCTCAGTGGTACATAGATACTATAATTCTGTTATTCTATATTTGACAATTGCGTTTATTTTGGTTTAGGAAATCCCGGATCTCGCATAACATGGCCGACTATCGACAACTTTCACAACGGTTCGCTACTTTCATTACGAGTCAATTACCTTTGAGAAATTCAAAGTGACACACTAACTTTCATATGCTTTGGGGTTCTTCAAATCATTTGCAAGATCTTTCGAAAATAAAGATCTTAGAATTCGATGCCTTGTGCATCGAACTGCACTGTCTGCGACTTTGGTGAAATGTCTAATGACATAATCTCGTGAAACGGGATCTTTATAATTCAAAACATATTTGATAAATTAATTGAAAAAAAGGATTATAATACGAAAAGAATCTTAATATCATATCTATATTTAAATAATTTAATTATATAAATAAATTTTATTAACGGTCGCTGAAAATAGACTAAATATCTTACTTCGCATAAAACGGAATTTAGAGTTATCCCCCTTAGGCGTTAAAGATTTCATAGGACTTGTAATGTCCTCCCCCATTGTTAAAATAAAAAGAGATTCATCTTATTTCCTCACTTTAGAGTTGCTTTAAAAGGCTTCTTGACTCGTGTGTTTTAACAGGGATATAGTATAGTTTTTTTTTTTGAAGGGGGGGGGGGGGGGGGGGGGGGGGGGGGGGGGTTACACAGAGAAAACATTCAACTACCTGACAAAAAAACTGGACAACCAATAAATAAATAAATAAAATAAACTAAAATAAATAAATAAATAAATAAATAAATAAATAAATAAATAAATAAATAAATAAATAAATAAATAACTAAATAAATAAATAAATAAATAAATAAATAAATAAATAAATAAATAAAATAAATAAAATAAAATCAATCAATAAATAAAAGAGAAGGAAAATTGTCCAAATTTAAAAATCCTAAAAAAAAGTTATGTCAATCCACCCCCTTACCCGTGCGAGGGTTGAATATCTAAAAGCTTGTGTACAGTGCATGGTGTATGACTATTTGCTTATAATATAAAAAGTCAGGTTGCTCCACATTGACGCTCATCAGAGTTTGGGAAGTTACGGATAATCGAAGAAAAAGAAAAATGAAAGAAAAAGACTACAAGAACATTTCACATAAAAACATTAACCATGCATATATGTTATTGAATATTTCATGTGAATATAGTTGATCAATTAAATACCGTAGCATAAATGGGTTATTTTAGCAGGGTGGTAATATTCGTTTATATGTATTTTAGAGTTTGGTGGAGGGTTAATAAAATTTTGGTCGTTAAAATATTCAATATTCTCCTTGATATGTTATTTTGAAAAGTCAATTACGAATCCATCAAAATTCTTGGAATACCTTTCAGTAAGCAAAAAGCCTTTACATTCGCCAAGAAAATGCGCAGTTTGATTTCTAAATGGCTTTAAAAGTATACTTAGTAGGTATGCTAAACCATGATGACATGCTTTAATAATTCTAATCTGCACTACATGTAAATAATTCATTGTTGTATGAAAATATGAACGTCTTTTTGCAAGAAAAGAATTTTCCGTGGTCTGAACAAACTTATTTTTTCACTACTAGTATCAAAAATGCTTGCATGTTAATACCTGTATCACTGAATATAACTCTGCTGTTCTAGAAACGGAATAAGTTTATATATTTCATAAATTTTCCAATGTAAAATATTTAGCCCCTATTACACCCCCCCCCCCCTCACACATGGAGTGCATGGTTTGATCAAACTTGAATCTCCAAATATCAGGATCGATCAAGGCCTTTTCACAAGTTTCATCTTACTGCTCCCACAGTGACATAACAATCGTTAAAAAAAAAAAAAAAATAAAAAAAAAAATGGGGGGCGAGGGCAGCCAGTGAAAAAATCAAATAACCTGAAAATTTTTTAACCGAAAATAATAATTAATCTAAAAATGAGAGAGAGGGAGAGAGAGAGAGAGAGAGAGAGAGAGAGAGAGAGAGAGAGAGAGAGAGAGAGAGAGAGAGAGAGAGAGAGAGAGAGAGAGAGGGGGTGGGTGGATTGGGGGCCAAACTCAAAAATCCTATAGATGGGGAGGGAGTTTGGATAGGTTCAAATTTCTTTAAGTACCATTTTTTTAGTCAAACATACTACACTTTTGTATTACCCTAATGTCTATACTATAAAAAAAGGGGGTGAGATGGGCTATCGGATTTTCATTGTACATTTTCTATACTGTCTGGAGAACTAGAAAAAAATCGCTTGCCCCCCCCCCGCGATCGTCACGTCGTTCCTTTGGTGTGTTTTTAAAATCCCAATTTTTTTGTGTTCTTGCCTTTCTTTATTGTCCTCCGCTTTCGCAAAAACGAGGGAACATTAAATCTCATTCGTCTGTCAGTCTCTCCATTTGTCAGTCACAAAAACTTTAACCTTGGTCATAACTTTTCAATGAGAGGAGAGAGGACTTGAGGACTTTAAATATTTCACATGTACCTTTCCAAACATACTACGATTTTTGACCTTGTGAGCTTGAAGTTTGACTTCTTTTCAAAAATGTTAACACTGCTTTAAATTGGTCACAATCAACTGCTTTTGAACAAGATTTAAGATAGGGCTTTCATATAAATTATGCATATTACATATGACAAGATCTTTCAAATTATTATTAATTATATCATGACTTTTGACCATGTGACCCTGACCTTGAAGTTTAACCTACTTTTCATAAATGTCACTTTTCCTTTTAACTGTTGAGAAGAGAAAGGCTTTTATATTTGACATGCATTGCCTATTAACAAGATGCTTCTGAGCATGCTATAATTTTTTAACCCTTGACCTTCATGTTTGACCTCATTTTAAAAAATTTTAACTTTGGTGATTACTTTAACATGAAATATATATGATAGGACATATATATTTGACACAATATGCCATGAATAATGGCATCCCTTCCACTAAGACACCAAGAGTGGTGGACCACAATTCTTTGAATTAGTTTGTCCTTGGCAATAACTTTTGAACAATTAGATCCAAAGCTTTCATGTTTCACATGAGTATTTCTTGTGACAAGAAAATCTTCCTTTGGAAACAAACAATTGTGACTTTGACCTTAGAGTGTGACCTTGGCCACAATTTTTTTTTTACATTTTGTGATGGACTTTCATATTTCATGTGTTTTTCTTGTGACAAGTCTTTCCCCTAAGTATAATTGATTTTGACCCTTTGACATTGGAGTTTGACCTATGTTTGAAAAACAAGTTTATTCATTGGAACAAGTCCTCTCTTTTGGAAGCAATATTTTTATAATCTCTTGGAGTTTAACTTGTTTTTGAGAAACTAAAATTTAAATTTTTGTTTCATTCTTGACCAAAGGTACAGTTATTCTGAACACAACATACACGGTGAAAAAGAGTATAAATTAAGAAATTTTGTTTTACCTTTATTGTTATTACACATTTATTTAATAACAAAGATCCCACTTTGAGAGAATGTACATGTAATTATACTTCTTTGATTGAAATAGAATCACTTTACTCTTATATAAGATTTGCAAACAATTAACCCATATGGGTATACATGTAAATTCTAAAAATGTCCACTGACTTCCTCGAACTCCTTATACAAACATAAATATACTAATAAACAATGACTCAACACATGTACTATACGAATCTTTTTTGTTTATGTTATACAATGATAATTAACCTGAATTAAGCTCTAAAACAAAATATTTTGGCAAACTATAAAAAAAGACATAAAATTCACAACTCTTGCATCAAAAATGCAAGTAAAAACAATAATTTATGAACAACATAAAAAGTACAGATAAAAGAAACAGTAAAACAGAATAACATGGACGGAAACATAAACTTGTTTGGTAATACTCCTCTCTGACATCACCAAATGTAAAATATAATTTCAATAAAATGTTTAATAACGATTCAAGAATTATCATTACAAACAAATAAAGATGGACGGGGAGCATCTAAATGTTAGGAAATGAGTCCATGGTTGAGCAAATGGGAAATATAGTTCCAGTTCCATTCCTACCTACTGGCTACAATGTTAATCTTGGTGGGTTTATCCCGGCCATGTCTCACTACATTATTACTGGGTAAATCACCAGTATCTCTGAACAGTCTGTCCTTAGTGACAACATACAGGAGTATGTACAGTAAAAGAGAGGACTAAATCGCGGCTGCCGGCTTCTACCTTCCGAATGGTATCGTTTTACTGGCCGGGCTCCAGGCAGGACGGAATTCTATACTTTCTGTTGAGCCATACCTCCTACTCTTCTCCTTTCTCTTTGTATCATCCTGAAAAAAAATTCAAGGTTTGTATACATTCGTAGTACACTGCATCAATTAAACACTTAGTTGTATTGATGGAGACAAAAAATTCAGCGTTTTTTTTTTGACATCACAACATTAAAAAAATTCCGTATTATTTTAAGGAGATGTAAATATATTTCATTTCTTCTTTAGAAAAGTGTTTTATTTTTCAAAATGTGATTTTAAGATTTTACAAGCAATTGTATTTGGGACAGGTAATATCAATAAACACCAATACACCATGTATCATGAAATAATGTAATAGTGCTTTCTTCATTACTATCTCTTCGATTACTCTTACCTTTCTCCTAAGCCACTGGTCATACAGCTTTTCTGCCTCCCTTTCCTGCTCTTTCTTCAGTTGTTCCTGCTCCTTCAGAGTAGCCATTTTCTTTTTCTTCTCCTCCAGGACTTTTTCTTTCAATACTTGTTCCTTCTTGTTGTTCCTGTATCATGTGTATACAAAACACAGTTTAAATATCAAATCTTCTCAAATTTTCAAGAAAAATTCAAAGACTGGATGTAACTTAAGTTTTCCTAATAGGACATAAATCCCTCTGCTTCTCACTCCCCAATCCCTCCAATGGAGGCAACATTAAAAACCATATTAAACACACATATCCACAAATTTAACAAATCTGGAAGTTTGGTTTGAGTATTCCCTAAGATATGCAAGAAGTTGACCAAAAAATTGAAATTAATCTTGAATCTTCAGCTATACAAAGGATGAACAGAAGATGGATACTTTGATTGTAGTATAATCATGTCTCCCCACCAGACAGCTTCTTTCTATTAAGGGTATAGAGTTTTTATGACTTGATGTCAAAGGTGATTGTACAGAGATCCCATAATAAATAATAACAATTGCTACAGTTATAACATACTAGTGCATGTACCGATACTTATTTTTCCACATAATCAAAGGACCAAATCTGTCATGAGGAATAACAGTTATCAAGTTTTTTCCCCTAATTTTTAAGCATTTACTGTAGAAATTGTATGATTCAGAGTCTAATGATTAAATTGATTTTCTATTAAATTGCTGAAACATAAAAAAAAAAAATAGACATACCATCCCCTAAGTGCAGTGACATTTTCCTTTTCCTTGTTCTTTTTTGTTTGCTCCTTTTCATATTCTTTCTCTCTCTCTTCCTCTCGTTTCTTTCTCAACTTTTCTTTTATTTCTTCATCCTTTTCTTCTTTCCATATTTTGAAGGTCTAAATAAGAACATTTATATACAACATGATATGATTTAATTTCTTGAATATACAATATCTATATATACAATATTTATATAGGCTGCAGAGTTTTCTACATACATGTAAAGGGGAATTGATAACTATTTGCATTTCATGTGAAATCCAGTTTGACCACTCCAGATCAAGTACAAAAACATTTTTCTCCCCGAAATTTTAATACATTTTTGTGAATATGTTTTAAAATCTCTAAACTTGCTATCTCTTATCCTCGCAAAACCATACTTATAAAGTACTGGTACATGTAATTACATGTAACAAATATAGAAAGTGAGTGTTAAACTAATTGACTTTATAACTTTCCTCTCAAACGATCACAGCAGAGAAGGCAGGGAACAGTTGAGCTTCTGACACATACTTGCTTGTATCCAGTTATATTTATCAACATATACATGTATTATATACATGTACTCAGAATAAATCAGCTGCCTTTACTGGATATGATGTGAAAGGCACAACAAGCAATTTTAGCTGTTATGTTTTTATTAAAGTGAATACTACAAAAGCCATTCATTAAAATTTTTTTGACAACAATTTTTCTAATTAACAAGTCACCTTTTCTGCCTCTTTGATCTTTTGTTCTTTTTCTTTCTCTATCTTTTCCTTCTTCTCTCTTTCTTTCCTTCTTTCTTCTTTAATCTTTTTAACAAAGGTATCTTCTTTTGATTCTTTCCAAGTCCTATAGGAGCTTTCATTTTCCAATTTCTTTTCTTTTTTCTCCTAAAAAAAGTAATCAGCAATGATTTTTTATAATTTAATTAACTTAAAGGAGTCAAATTTACATCTCAAGCAATCACAGGATACTTGATATTTATATGTAATTTCTTTACAGGCAATCTTGCAAGATACATCCATCACAAATTCTATACATGTTACATAAATTGTCTTAATGTAATTTCCTATAAATACCACTGACTCAGAAAAAATATGACATAAATATACATGTATAAGGAAACCAGTACTCAAGTAATATTTATATAGCACCTCTAAAATGAACTGAAAAATATTGATATAGGGTCTATGAATTTTTTTTCATTCCTATCATATCCAAAGATTTCTATGAAATAAACGTAAACAAAGTTGCATGTAACTTCCAATATCATTACTGATGAGTGTGTGTCAAAAACAAACATAATTTTTTTTTATATGTGTGTCATCACTATCATGTCATTAGAATTAACACAGTAGTGATAAATGACAACCAAGACAGGTTCCACAATACTGATGAGAAATTGGCTTACGTCCTCCTTTTTCTTCTCTTCCTCCTGTTTTTTCTTCTCTTCCTCTTTTTTCTCCTTCCTGGCGGATTTCATCTTCTCTCTCCTCCATTCATCATACACGGCCTGCCGTATGGACATGGTGTCGTTGAAGGACATCTCAGACAGGGTTCCCTGACTAGTGGGGGTCCCCGGGATAGTGTAGCGGGGCTTAGGACGGTGCTCCTTATCAACTCTGAAAAAGAAAAGTTTGACAAAATTCTTTTAAACATCTGCAGTTTTCATTGATTTATTGCTATGATCATGTTAAAAAGAAACAAAGTTGGGTAATAGTTCTATTTTTGGGGTTTTCTTTAATTACTGAACTTTCCTTACACAAATACAATTTAAGTGTTAAATATTATTGATTCAGAAATACTGTAAACCGTCAACTGCTCTCAGTCGACTCTGAGTAAATGGATACAATAATATTTTCCCTCATTTACAACTTACTTTTTGAAAGACTTGGTAGTGTCTGTGGACTTCATTGTAGCAGATGCTGGTTTGTTCTGTTCTTGAGCCACTTTGTTTATGATGTCATCTGATTTTTTACTCTCTGTTCGGCCTTTGCCTGGCCTACAAAAGAAATTTTAAAATATTCAGTTTCTTATCAATTTATGGTTGAAATCCAGATAATCTTTCAGTGATTTATTTAAATGAGGCTATAAATTTATTGATACATGTAAACTTAAACACCAACTTCATCATTATATCGTACTCTAGGAAATTAATTTTGAGACGACTTTGTCATTATATATTTAATTTTCATTCTTTGATGGAAAAAAAAAACAGAACAAAACAAAACTTAAAATTATGCATTGCTAAAAAAATAAATCCATAGTAAATAATTTCAATCAAAATTACATTTTTGAAAAGGTTACATACTTAGCTTGTTTTTCCTGCTCAGCAAATGACCTTCCTAATGGATCCTTGTCAAACTCCTCACAGAGTGAACTATCGTCCGGTATCTCTTTCTCCTTGTCTGTTAGCTTCTTTGCCACTGAGCTGGTATCAGCACTACCTATGTCCCCACTGCCTGACTTAGCCTGCCTCTGCTTGGCTCTGTTGATTTTATCCCCCAGAATATCATCTCTGATACTATCCTCCCTGTCCTGCGGTCCTTCCTCCGGCCCCCGGAGTAACCTTGGCTTGGGTTCCTCTCTCTTTTTTGTTTTGGAGGAATCTACATCTTCATTGAGAAAATCTAGAAGTGATGTCTCTTTCTTTAGTGGGGCCTTTTTTGTATCTTTCTCTCTGTCAGATTTTCTGTAGGACGTTTTATCTGTAGGAGTTTTTCTGCCATCTAATCCTGTTGGAGTTTTTCTGCCATCCATTCCTGTAGGAGTTTTCCTGCCATCTAAGTTTGTTGGAGTTTTTCTTCCCATCTGAAACCAAAATGTCAATTTTTTACCTTAAATTTTACAAGAGCAAAAGGTGTTTACAAATAGATGAGTATATCTCTCAGGAATAGGTAGTATCCTGTATGTACCTTTATACAGTAAAACTCGTTTAGTATGAACACGGATATAGCAAATTCACGGATATAGCAAAGTTTTTCTGGGTCCCCGGCAAAATTCTTAACAAATCTTTGTAAAATTTTATGGTTATAAAGAACTCTGATATAATGAATTTACGGATATAGCGAACTCATTTTGAGTCCCGATGAGGTTAAATATAATGAAATTTACATCTTTTATAACGAACTTTCAAAGATCCTAAAATTTACTAGATTGAACTGACTTTATTTTCTTGTAGCATTTGTATATAAAATTCAGTTCAATAAAACCTTAGTTGTCGACGGTATGTTTTGTAATATTTGCTTCCCTAACATATTTGTTAGTAATACTTGATGGAAAACATTCAAATTGTGAACTCGTTATAAATGTTTATACGAATTCGTTATACGGATATAACGAATTACGGATATAGTGAATTAAATTCACAGGTCCCAAGGACTTCGCTATAGCCGAGTTATACTGTATGCTACTCAGAGCCAGAAGAGATTCTTTGTGAAATGCATTAAGCTAAAATAAACATGAAGATGTATATGCCAAAATTGATATAGTAGAGCAATTATGGTACCTCTAAATACATGTATAGTCAAGCGTTGTTATCTCAAATGCAATGAGACCATGAAAAGACTTCTAGATCTTATCTTCAGTTTTGGAGATACTGTGGTAAGAAGTTATTGAGACTTCAAACTCGCTTCAAAATAACCATTTTTTTTTTTTTTGCAGATTTCAAATTTTAACTGTGTTCATGTACAAGGCCACACAGTATAGAGGGACTTTTGACACCAAAACATATCTATTCCACTTGAACTCCTAGATGAAGCCTACCTGTGTAGGAGTTTTTCTGCCACCTGGAGCAGTCCTGTGAAATCGACTGACAGACGGAGAATCTGTCTCCAAATCTACGTCCACATGATCTGTTTTTCCAAATATGTCTGTCTTGTGTCTAGGTCTGGGCTTGGGAGCTTCATCCAATCGTGGTGAATCATCTATGGAGAGGCTCCTAGTGATATAAAATAAGATGTATATTATCACTTGGGTATCATAACTGACCAGCATATTAAAAATCATATATTTCATATATTTCATAACTCTGAATGGAACCTCCTATTCTAAATAATTATGTCCTGTATAAGAATTTACAATACATACTTTGGAGATTTCCTGTCTGACTTTGAGAAGCGATCCTTTGGACTAGTAAGGCCACCTTTGGGACTGGTTCGGCCAGCCTTAGGACTACGGTCAATAGGACTTGGAAATCGGTTTTTCCTGGGTGTCCCTGCATTTTCATCAATGCTCTGAAGAAAAGGTTCCTGAGATGGAGTCCTTCTCCCCTGTAAGCCTGCAATAATTATAAGCAGTTTTACAAATAAAACACTACTGCATCATAATAGGGATACATGCAATACATTATTACATTATTTGCCCAATCTACAATCCTCCTCCCCCCCTCAAAAAAGAAATAAAATTTTAATATTAGAAAATATTACACAACATGAATATAATGATAAGAAATATGTACAGTTACATGATTTAATAACTATTCATAGATTCAAAAGCTTAAACAAAGTAATCAACCATTTAATTGAAAATATTTATGAAGATCATTATGATTATCTGGGATAGACTATATCACATAGACACAACTCACCAGGGGAGGGTGCTCGGTTTTCTTGCTGCTCTGCGCCTGGGCTTTTTCGAAAGTTTGGTGGTTGCCATGGTTTATTATCTGTTGGACTCTGACGCCTGAAGACACAAACAAGTCAACAATTATCATTAACATATCTTTTCCAATGTCACGTCATACTTTAATTTCACAGAAAGCTTACAAATTTTTAAAGTTTCATAATTTTCATTAATTACAAAAAAAAAATAGTCCAAGAAATAAATATAAAAGCAGTTTTCATTCCATTCTGCTAATAAAGTTTATTTGCCTTGGATCATTAGTGGGTGTCTTCCTGCCAAAAATAATATCCTCCTGAGACATAGGCTGGGTGCCATATTTGGGGCTGGGAGACCTTTTTCCTCCTAAAGCATCAGTCAGACTCTTGCTATCTTTTGGAGAAAGTTTGGGGGATGTCAAAGAGGGCATTCCAGGGGATGTTCTCCCTTTTCCTCCCATGTTGAGGGAGGGAATACTCTCTTTCTGGCCTTGCTGTCCACGCTGTTTCATAAATTTGCTTCCACCTTGTCCTGGCCTAATGGTATCCCCCAAACTTAAATCATTTGTGTCCTGAAAGGTGGGTGTTCTTCTCTTGGCAGAGGTTGGTCGGTTGGATTGCTTTTGGTTTGATAGATTTCTTCTATGCTGTGCAAGGATTTCTGTAAAATGTGAGTGAAAGATTTTACAGAGTTATCATATATATATAAAATACTATTATTTGTAATGATATCAAAATTCTTCATTACAAATATAACCTAGCTGGTAGTTTTTGAAGTCACAAATTTTATTACAATATGCAAATCTCATATCAAAAACTTTTAAACTGGTCCTAAATTATGAGAAATATTGCATCTTGCGAGCAATGTTGTATACTAAATTGAATGACTTGTAAAATACCTCTAGCAAAACACCCTCTCTTGTAATTATGCAAAAATTTCCACATTTACTTTATATTTACTGTCTGCCAAATTTAGCAAACCTAATTTTGAACATAACCTGTAAGTAACATAAATCATTGGTGTTAACCAAAAAAATTTAACTAATCTTCTTAATTTCAATTAATTTGTTTATGACAGAGATTTTTAATGACACGCCACAATATAAGGGAGGTCAAATTAGGGAATAACTATCTTCTAATTTGGTATTTGCGACCGTTAATGCTAATTTAACGGTCGCAAACTGAGTTTTACCGGCGACGCGTAAGCAGAGCCGGTAAAACGGATGTTTGCGACCGTTAAATCAGCATTAACGATCGCAAATACCAAATTAAAAGATTAGTTATTCCCATTCTAATGCAATCCATGCATTTTGTTTGTTGTTTACGTCTTATTTTGTTGAATTTTGTTACATGAAATACGTCACGGAGCATTGTATTTTTGCGTCGCTCGATTATGACGTCACAATGAAAAAGCTTTCACGCTCGTTAATGCTCGTTTTACTGCTTCAAACATTAGTGCATTAGCCAATCAAAGAGTGTTTTACAAAACAATTGCATTAGAATATAAAAGTAAAGGAAAACATTATGGGTGGACTGATATTTGAATCTTGTTCCCTGCATTACTAGCCAGATGTTCTAACTACTATACCACTGTGCTGACACCCTCAGTCCACACAAACTAAATAGCAAAAGAGCACTAAATAAAATCAAGAAAAAAGAAAATTTATAGCTGGTTTTTGAATCAAAACTCTGACTCCTACTGTCTAGGTGCTTGATCTAACCATTGACTATGATTGAGCCACCCAGTTTATATCTATGCATGGTCTTATAAAGCCCTAATCACAAGAAAGATATTTCATTTATTATCAGCAGTATAACTGGATATAAGTCTGGGTAGCTCAATGGTAGAGCACTTGACTGGTAATATAGGGGTTCTCAGTTTGATTTCTGACCCATGCAGTCATATATTTTCATCCCTCCTATCCTATAGTATTCACCTTCATCACTGTCACCGTCGTCATCATCTACAATACTGTCGCTCTCTTCACTTGTCAGACCATATGTTAAACCTTCCTGTCTGCGCTGCTGGAGTTTCATTTGTAATTCTGACTGAAACCTGGTGTCTGATAGTTTTTGATGAGATCTCTTCTTTTTGAGAAAAGGTGAGTCCACTTCATCCATTTTGCAATGCCTGTCCTACATGTCAGATTTTACTTTTCAGGTACAAAGTAATATACATGATTTAGCGTGAATAATTAGGAAAATCAAATAAAAATCCCTAATTCTGCTAATTTTAGATCAATGTTGTCATATTGGAGAACCTGTCGAGGCATGTAAATTTTCGAAGAAATGTGTCATAGAACAAAAAATAATAAATTTAGCATTGCTGGCATTTACAAAAAGATATATTTTCATAATATTAACTTACCTTTGGTTAAAAATAAAGTATACAATTCATGAAATTAATGGTTTTTTGCAATTTTTCACCTTTTATCCAGTCTGTAACCAATAAACAATGTAGCGAAATTTCGGAATATATATATACTATTTAAACAAAACGAATACAAATAAATTTAGACAAAATATCTGAATAGATAATATTTTATGAAATAGAAAAAAAATAATTTATTCTTCTAATTTTATAAAAAGTTTAAAATAATTTAAATTTTAACTGTTAAAAATTGAAGAATTGTTCGTTTCTTTATTTTTAAAATTTTCAGCGGAAATGGGTCGCTGAAGTCGTAAGCGGCCTTGAAAATGAAAACACGAGAAAGAAAACTCGGTATCTGATATAGTTGGATTTGGAAAGTTTGTTTTATGCATACAGATTAGAAAATCTCATTGCCACAATAATTGGATCTAGGGTTGCAGGGTTAGTTACTTTAAAATTAATTGAAAAATATCACAGGTACTTGGGTGGTGGTTTATAAATATTTATAATGTACCTTATTGATATGTAAAAAAAGTACTTTTTTTACATATCAATAAGGTACATTATAAATATTTATAAACCACGACCCAAGTACCTGTGAAAAATATCATAAAGAGTTTGTGAAATCATTGCCGTAACAGTAGTTACGTATGCATCGTATGTGATACGCATAACCATTAGGTTATAGCATTTCTTTCTGAAATGTTTAGGTCATATGTAATTTTTCAGTATTCTTTTTCCATCGTCTGGTAAATTTGAAATGGATGTTTTCTTATTTACCTGGTAGATTTTGATATAATAATCAAGTATCTAATGCCTAATGGCATGACTTACACCAGTGATCTGTGACTCAAGGGAGGTAATCTGACCTGACAGGAAACATGAATATCATATATGAAAGATTACTCCTTTTTATAATGTGTTTCTTCATTATATGTCATATGGTGTGACTGTTGGGACTAGCACAGTTGTACCTTAAAAAAAAAAAAAAACACTGAAACATTTAGTCTGAAATATCTGACGTTTTCCAGGTTTTTTCACAATTTTGATATTTTCTTCAACAAGTTAAATTGTAATGACTCAAATATTAGTAAAATAGCTTTAAACCTAAAGATTTTGTATTTACCGTATTCTTTTTTTTAAAAATGTCATACACTAGGGAGGTACCAGAATTGCAAGTAGAATTCACGAGATGGTGTATTGCTTATCTACTTTTATGCAAAATGAATGTACAAAATTCACAACTTCCACTGATTAGACCCTCCTCCCCAGAATTCAACAGAAATGCTATATTTGTCCATCTGCCAATTAATGCTATTTTTTTTAAAAATTGTTTTCCTGGTAGTAGTGTTCAAACCATGCTCTAGGACTAGCTTTGTTTTATTTGCTCACTCTGATTCGATGGTAATTGACTGAAAGAACTTAAATTTATACTTCCAGGTCTAACTTTCATTGATAGATTTGAAAGACACTACATATAATCATGTCATTTTCAATCAACTTACCGCCCTCGGTGATGGCCAAAAAGGCCAAATCGGAGGAGCAGGATGAACCCAAAAAGAAGTCGCGCGAGGACTGGAGGAAGCAGAAAGAGTTGGAGGAGATGAGAAAAGCTGGAACAGCTCCCGCGATGACGGATGAGGAGGGAAAGTCAGTATCAGAAATATTGGCCTAAAATATCTTTAAAAATAGTCAATAATTTACTAATATAGAAACTAGTTCTGAATTATTTTTTGCCAAGTATATCAAACAAAAATTGTTCCAAAAAATTAAGAAATAATTTGATGTGATCAAAAATCTCTGTGATGTTCTATGAAAGCTCAAATACCAAGAAATTCAGTCTTTGCCTCTTGTATAATTTTGAATATGTCATTCTGTGACATAAATTCATATAACGTATAGATTGTAATATGCATTTTATTTATTTGTTTTCTTTAGAGAAATCAACCCCCATATTCCTCAGTATATCATGCAGGCACCGTGGTACTACCAAGCTACGCAGGCCACACTTAAACATCAGAGAATACAAGAGGACAAAATGAAAAATTATGATGACAGAAATACATGGTACAAAAAAGGTCTCAAGGAGGTAAGGCTAATCTTGTTCTTTTTTTATATACATACATGTACCAGTGATTTTATTTTTATAATAAATAGAATTTAAATAATTCTGATTAAATCAATAAATGGAAATAAAATTTCCAAGTAAAGTTAATATTCAGTCTGAAAAATGATTGTACTTTAAATTTAGGGTCCAGTTGTAACAAAATTTAGAAAAGGAGCTTGTGAAAACTGTGGAGCAATGACTCATAAGAAAAAGGACTGCTTAGAGGTAATGAGAATAAAGCTTTAGGAATTTCCTATGCAATACAATCTTCTACACATTTGTAGCATTTTACATACCAACGTCACATTGCAAGAGAATACATTTACTTTAAATGGATTTTGTGGGAATCTAAAAAAGAAGAAAAAGTGTACATTGTTTTGTAATCCACTGATACAGAATATGATTTATTCACAATATCCTTTATGGGTTTTATTTAGTGTTTAGCAATGAAAATTTCTAAGCACTGTTGCTAAGTTTCCGGCAGATTATTTTTAGAAATAAATATTTTGGTAGAAAACATTCTGTGTATGTACATTCTTTGTCATGGATAACAATTCATCATGGACACAGCATTTTTTGTTTGTAAAAAAAATTGGCCTTTTAAATGATTGATATAAGAAAAAAATAAAAAAAAATATTGATGTCAAGAATTAGTAATTTGTTATTATATTTATTGAAAAAAGAAGAACTATTACAAAGTAATTTGATTTTGCATTATCATCCAGAGACCAAGGAGGATTGGAGCGAAATTCACAGGAGACAATATAGCCCCTGATGAGTACATTACTCCGACCCTTAACTTTGATTACGAGGGTAAGCGTGATCACGCGGCAGGTGTGGACGTGGAGGATCACCAGAGAAAAGTACGGGAGGAATACGGCCGGCTGGAAGAGGTGGGTACATCTGTGTATACGTATAAATAGGAATGAATGCTGGTGATCTGTTAAAAATAGTTATAAAAATAGTTTTGATTATTATAAATATTAAAATTAATACATGTACAATATATCTTTCTCCTGTAATTTGAGAACATGAACTTTAGGATGATCAAATGTCTTAAATTAAAAATTTTGTATTTTTAACTCGTCTTTAATGTCAAAGTTAGCAGCTACATTGGGAGAAAGAATTTAAATAGGGATGTCAACGAATATTCGAATATTCATTCGTTGAGTTATTATTCGAATATAAATATATTATTCGAATATTCGTTTGTAAAGTATACAAGCATTTAACAGAGAAAAAATCTTGCAAGTTTTATTTGAAATTGAACCAAATTGGACTAGGAATAATATTTGATTAAAAAGAAATTAAAAGACACTCCTGTTGGACATGAATACATTATATCATTTAATTATTGGTATATAAAGTACTTGCAATCAGTTTGTATTGTTTAAAAACACAGCTGTACAGAAAACACATTGATCCCTTGTTTATGAATATATCATTACAATAATTATCAGGAAATTAATTATCTAAAATTAATTGATTTCAATAATTTTTCTTTCGTTTATAATTGTTTAGCGTGGTATAAATTTGTAGGAGTAATTAGTGTAGACTTTGGTAAGACGATTAATTAATCTGGAACATACTAAAGAATCTTTTGAATTTTCAAAAACAATTTTTCATTACATTTTGGATGTATACTCTTCATTTATTCTCTAAAATTGTAAAAATATAATTACTTTGCATTTACAAAAGTCTACGTGAAATTTTATTCCAAAATAATGACATAAAACCTATACTGGTTGATTGGAGTGTGAAAATATATATTCTATAATGCTAAATGTATCTATTTTATCGAATATTCGAATATATTCGAATACTCCTATCGAATATTCGAATATCAATTATTGACAATTTTGACATCCCTAAATTTAAATGATGAAACTTTTCAGTAATTTCCACCTTCTACAGTGAATAGATTGTTGATGCTATCAATGTTTGAAGATAGAACATGTAACTATGTAAACTGTATGCATTGATACTGTAATTATGTGTTTTCTTTTTCTAGGCAAAGAGAATGCTTAAAGAAGCAAATTTTTTGGAAGGAAAAGAATCTGCTGAAACAGTAAATCACTTTTTTAATTTTCTAAAAAATGTTAAAAATAGAACATTAAATGTTGATATTTAGCTTTCCTGGTTAGAAACCAGAACAAGCTGAAAAACGTTCAGATTAGTCAGCTTAAAATATGTACTCATGTATATATCATAAGAAGTGTCAATTTGAATACATTTAGCTATGTAGAAAATTTCTATTTACCAGAATTTTTATTTTTTTAGTCTCAAGGTGACAGTGAGGATGAGGATAAATATGCAGATGATGTGGACATGCCTGGTCAGAAGTTTGAGACCAAACAGAGAATCACAGTCAGGAATCTCAGAATCAGAGAAGACACGGCTAAAGTTAGTCAGATTTATTTTTATCTTTTTTGTACATGTATATACATGTAAGTAACTTTGTGTACATGACTATGATTTTTTGTACAATACAACCAAGGAAAAAAAATCCAACTTAAAATGTATCATTATAATTATATTAAAAAAGTACTTCAGTAATAGTATAGGATAGCCTGTACCTAATTCATCTTTCTATTGCAGTATTTGTACAATCTTGATCCAAACTCAGCCTTTTATGATCCCAAAACTCGATCTATGAGGGAGAATCCATACAAAAACACTGGAAACATTGAGATGGAGTAAGTTCAGCTAACTAGTTTTCAAATGCATGGTCAAATGTGTTGTAAAACATTTGATACATTTTCAAAATAGCGTACAAATACCAATTACCCTGTACATGTAATATTAAGTGTACTTAAGTGTAATAAATACTTACTGTTATAGTTGAAGTGAATTAAGTGGAAAACCATGGGAGATATTCTATGTCTACTGATACGACAGAAATAAAAAATTTTATTTTTAAAATAGCCATCTTTATTTCAAAATAGGCAAAAGTATGCAGGAGACAACTTTGTTAGGTTCTCTGGAGATGCACATGAATTTGCCAGAAAGCAAGGTAAGCCTTCTAAGATAAATAAAAGGATAAAATTTATTCACTTGCTCTCTACACAGATTGATGGCTAGATATTATTAGTTACATAGTCTTTTAGTGACAGGGTACGGGATGATGCCTGATGTCATACCTGATGCGGCGGAGTCACTTAAACACTATGTAACAAATTTACCCCACCAATGAATTATTTATATATTATCTGTGGTTTATGAATGTTTTTCTCTGCTACATACTTCATCACGCTTATACTGTGCCTATTATGACATCACGTTATGTTAGTTATATAATGTTCTTTGTGTGCTATAATAATGAACTAAACAGTGTTATAGACTTTCAGTAAGGGAAGAAAAATGTTTCTGTTGTTATTTTTGCTACTTAACTTTAAATTTAACCTAGTGAATTCGAGTTGTTCAAAGTGTTTCAAAAGAATTTTACATTGACCTGGTATTGATTTACAACTGACTGGGTATAAGTAATCCACTTCCTTCACATGACAGACTTAAACCAATTGTAAGCCAGGATTTCCTCGAAAAATCAACAGAGGTGGGGTAAGATGAAATGTAGATGCTAATCAGTTTAAAATTTTGTCTTACAGTGTTTGCCTGGGAAGCCTATGAACATGGAACTGATATTCACCTACAGGCTGATCCCACCAAATTAGAACTGCTGACTAAGGAAGTGCAGAAAAGGAAAGAAGACGTCAAATCCAGTGCCAAGGAGAGCATCCTGGACAGATACGGAGGGGAGGAGCATTTACAAGCCCCTCCCAAACAGCTGCTAATGGCTCAAACAGTAAGATTTTTTACAGCTTAAAAATATTTTATGTGATTAAATAGATTTCTTGCAATTATTTCACCTTTTAAGCTGCAAATAAAGATAAAAATAAAATTCCCACAATTCAAGCTCTACTAGTAAACTTCCTCTGCCCACATTGAATGTGACATTATTTGTATTGTTATGTGTTTTGTAGGAGGATTATGTGGAATATTCTCGACATGGTTCAATAATTAAAGGAAATGAAAAACCAGTGGTCCGATCAAAGTATGAAGAAGATGTCTACATAAATAATCACACAGTGAGTTGTAGAAATATCTTCTAAATATAACTGAATTTTTTAAACGGCACAAGTCAACAATTTCTATAGAGGATTAGCATTCCTCATTTAGATCTAAGAAATTTAAGAAAATGTTATTCTGACAAAATTTCTTTATTAATAATTCATAAACCAAAGATTAGTAAGATGTTAGTACATATACAGACTGAACATATATAATTATTACGAAAGACAAAGTTTTCCAAAGACAAAATTTCTAACACATTTTGTGATTACAGTCTGTTTGGGGTTCATTCTGGAAAGACGGTAGGTGGGGCTACAAGTGTTGTCAGAGCTTCATAAAGGAGTCCTACTGCACGGGGGCAGCAGGGATCGAGGCCTCCAACACAGATATTATCCCTGCCATTAGGAATGGAGAGGGGGAGAGCGAGGAAGAGGAGGAGGAAGCTCCAAAATCACTGCTACAGGTAAGGGCCAAAGCTTAAAAGTCACTGCTACAGATAGGGGATATAAATCCAAAGTCACTGCTACATGTACATGTAAGGACCATAGCTACAGGCATGTGTCATTGCTACAGGCATGTGTCATGGCTACAGGCATGTGTCATAGCTACAGGCATGTGTCATTGCTACAGGCATGTGTCATTGCTACAGGAAGTCTTAGTTCAAGTCACTGCTACAGGTAGGGACCATAGCTACAGGCATGTGTTATTGCTACAGGTAGGAGTCTTAGTTCAAGTCACTGCTACAGGTAGGGACCATAGCTACAGGCATGTGTTATTGCTACAGGTAGGAGTCTTAGTTCAAGTCACTGCTACAGGTAGGGACCATAGCTACAGGCATGTGTTATTGCTACAGGTAGGAGTCTTAGTTCAAGTCACTGCTACAGGTAGGGACCATAGCTACAGGCATGTGTTATTGCTACAGGTAGGAGTCTTAGTTCAAGTCACTGCTACAGGTAGGGACCATAGTCATGTGTTATTGCTACAAATAGCCATAACAGGTCCAATGGCATGTGTTATTGCTACAGGTGCTTTAAGTCACTGCTACAGGTAGGGACCATAGCTACAGGCATGTGTTATTGCTACAGGTAGGAGTCTTAGTTCAAGTCACTGCTACAGGTAGGGACCATAGCTACAGGCATGCACCATGGCTACAGGTAGTAATTCAGAGGATCTCTAACTATTTTTAACAGGTAAGGACAATAACTCCAATGTCACTGTTACATGTTTCAGGGCATACTCTATATGTAATACAATCTCAGCATTTAATAAAATGCAAAAATATTGGATGCTTATTCTCTGGACTTTTAATTTTTTTTTACTTGATAGTATAGACTATTTATGAGCTATATAATAAACATAAATATTGATGTTTGTTTTCTGAGTACCTCATTCCTATAATTTCTTTATTATAGCAACATCAGGAAAAATTATTATCAAAAGAAAAGAAAAAGAAGAAGAAAAAGAAGAATAAAAGGAAACAAAAAAAGAAAAGCAAAAGTAGCAGCAGTAGCGAGTCTGAATCAGAAGATGAGGAGAAGGAACGGGAAAGAAAACTTAAAGAGGTATTTATACTAATGTTTTATACATTTATACAAAGGCTGCAGCAAGTGCATCACACATGCATTAAATGTTTCAAACCTGTAGAGGTGTTGAACTTTTATAAATGAAAAAGCATTTTCACAAACCAAGGGTTTGATTCTTTTTTCTCAAATGAGAAAGATTAATTGAGTCCTTGGATTTTAAGCATGTTGAAGTTCTTTACAGCTTTAAAAATGATATTTTAGGCTTTGAAGAGAGAAGAAGAGCAGCAGAAGAAAGCAGACCAGCTTCTATCCCTGGACGAGAGGAAGCGGCCATACAACAGTATGTATACTAACGTAGCCCCTAGTGAGGAGGAGATGGAGGCCTGGAGGATGAAGCAGAGAAGAACGGAGGATCCCATGTCACATTTCTCATAGCCCAGGGGACAGAGGGGCACTTCTTACATAGCTGAGAAGACCAAGGAAAGTTATGTTGCTGAGGGCCCCTGCCACATTTCATATAAACAAAAAGGCCTCAACCTGTCTTCAGCATGTTTTAGTGTTTAAATGTTCAGATTCCTAACAGTCTTTTACTTCCATCTAGTTTTAAGCTGCAAGTGCTTCTTCTCTCATAGCAGAGGAGACGATATTGTAAACTATGAAATGTTCCATTTGAAATGATTATGGAAGATTTGTCTGGGTTCAATTATTTGTAAACTGTGATAATTTTTCTTCAAACGGTCAGATGAGGTTATTATTTGTACATGCATTATTGTTAAATTCCTTAAAACAAGAGATGAATTTTAATTTGTGAAGTGTTTGTTGTGCAATACAGCTACATTGTACTACGTACTACACTGTTCCTATTCTATTTAGGTTTCAATTACATATATTTTGAAAGCCTCTGCATGACAATTAATAGCCAATATCATTAGGAGATACAGGTACTGATTCTTACAAGTACATGTACATAATAAATATATGCAAATCTAAGAAAAATGTTGTTCTTTGTTTAAAATTGGTACTGTTGAAGGAAAATGAAAACCAAGGTAGCATATTGAACCATGATTTAAAATGAACTAGCTCATTGTAGTCACCTATATCTGAGGCGCATTCTTACGACTTTTTATGACTGTTTTAGGGAAGAGTTAGCCATTGAAATTAAATTTCAGCCTGTCGAAATTCTCCTTGTTTAGGTAGATGCAAGGACCCCAGTTTATATAAGAAAACGTCCAAAAAATTAATTGAGAGAGCTCGCACAAAATAATACCACCCCATGAAAATGCTTAATTAAATTTTGCACTTTGAACTTGCCAAAAAGACCTTAGTTAAGAAATGACACATACCCAAATAAAATTTGGAACCTCCAAATAATTGGAATTTTTCGAAGTCCAAGGGGCATAACTGTAAAAAATTGCTCATTTGTATGGTGAGGACACCAAAGTTTTTAAGAGGGGGAAAATGTCATGATTGTGACAATGATGCCGATTGTTTTATATAGGATTCGTGTTACCCTGTTTGTACATTGTACTTTCCCCCATTTGTAGATCGCATAATCGGTTACATTTCTTATTATTGATTCACTGTACTTACGTATCTAGAAGAACATAATCTTATGATTATAATTTTATTATCCTGGATTAATATCAGTATTGTAATACGCTAGATTTGTTGTAAATATCGTTTCTAACTCTGTAACTTTATTTATAGAAACCGCCATCATGATGGTTATTTTGTGGAATATCACGCCCGATTCTAATTGTTATTTCTCTGTACTAAGCATTTTTATCGAAATTTAATACTTAGGGGATATTGTCATATTGTGTAATTGTTTTATATTATAATTGTCACATGTGTTATGTGGATTATCTATTGTTATTATTAAACATTATTTGACAATGATTATTGCCGGTGGCTGCCGGTGACTGCCGGTGGTACCGAAGATCTGCCGGTCGTCCCTAGGGAAGCGCGTGGGTCTCCGGGGGGACTCTCCAGAGCTATATAAGCAGAGGATAAGGACTGCCGGTGGACTCGGCATTTAGATTTTGAGGTTAGCGGTTGTTTATTTGATTCTTAGCATTTTTCTGTAGGAATTTAGTATTTTTTAATTAATTCATCAATTTTTCTAATAGTGAATACGGGTTAATCTCGTTTCACTATTAATTACTAGTATTTATCGTAGGACGTTTATATTGGGTTAATCTCGATATTAAACGATTAAATAATTTTGTTACGGTTTGACTGAAAGTGACTCTTGAAGTCTTTCCGTGTAAATAATTGTTTATCTTTGATAGATTTTAGGAATTCAATCAATTTAAAGTGATAATCTAGTTGCGTTTATTGGAATATTCAAGCAGGAATTAAGGCTAGGATTCGATATAGAAATTATAGAGATAAATTTCTTGCTTTAAATAGCTTTTATAGATTGTGTAGATTCTTTCAGAAATACTTTGGTTATTCTAAGGTATTTCTATAGTATTTATTACTCACTATTCGGGTCATTCTCGTTTAGTGCGCCCCCCCCCCCCCCCCCTTTTTATCGTATTAACGTAATACGAAGGTTGTGTTAGTGTAGTAATTCATTGTGAATTTGGGTGATTCCCGACTTCCATTGAATTTTATTGTAATTGAATATTAATTAATACATATTGTGACTTTTATTTATTGAATAAATTTGTAAACTTTAAATAAGGCTTATCATTTAACTTCCCCGTAGTTATTTACGAGTCCAAACACAGGTTATTCTTGTGTTATTATAGGAGATCTTTATTTGCGGGTTATTCTCGGAAATAATCACAGTACTACATGGGTTATTCCCGTGTAGGCTTCTAAGGAGTATCTGTGCGTGAGATCCATACAGCTCAGGTCCGTTACATTTGGTGGCAGCGGTGGGATCTGCCAAGTACATCGGTGGATCCAGAGATACGTAACCCAGAACCAGTGTTGAGAAAAATCCATGCATAGGTACTTTACCAGATCCAAGACTAGGATGGAGCCATCCGTTAATCCTGGACATTCCAGAGGACAATCCACAGATGAGGAACTCCTCATAGATTTATCGCCGTCCGCATTAAACAGATCACTCCGAGGGGAACAGAGCATGTCCAACAATGACAACTCCACAGAGGATGAAGATGACTCAGATACTCAGGCTAGAATACCAACCCCTATTAGAAAAATAAGAAGATCCAAAAGGACTGTACGTCAGCAGAGGGAGATAATCCCTACAGACACAGAACTGTCAGAACCAGTTACACAGTCATCACAGAATAATTCTCTTATAGACCCTATGAAGCTAATGATGGAACAGATGACCCAGACAATGAAAGCCATGCAGAATATGATGGAAGCAACTACTCAGACTCTCAGACAAGTAAGCGACCAGACAATGAAAGTCATGCAGAATATGATGGAAGCGACTACCCAAAATCTAGGACAAGTGAACAGCCAGCCACATACTACAAACTGCGAGCTGCAGCCTAAAATATCAAGAATCAACTCAAATAATAAGTCAGAGACAGAAACCAAGGAAAGCCATCATAAGGAATCAAACGAAGATTCAGAACAGTCTGAAAATGAGCAATCTGTCAACTCAGTTGCCACAAGGGGTTTGTTCGAGTCCAAGAAGACAGATAACATCAAGCTTGATTGTAAGCTTCCGCCTTACACAGGTTCCGAGAAGTGGAGAGTTTGGCTGAATCGCTTCGAGTCCGTAGCCGAGTTAGCCGAGTGGACTGGTAAAGAGAAGTTACAACAGATATTACCAAGAATACAGGGAATTGCAGCTGATTTTGTTTTTGGTCAGCTGAAGAAGGAGATTATAGGGAACTATGAGACTTTAGTCGCAGAAATAGAATCCAGATTTGGAACACTGGAAAATAAGAGAGTGTACAAAACTCAATTCAACAACAAAAGGCAAAGAAAAGATGAAAGTCTTGAAGAGTATGCTGCTGACATTAAGCGTCTTTATGACTGGGCTCACCCAAGTAGAGATGCCAGCACCAGACAGGAAGACCTGATTTCAAAATTTTTGCAAGGTTTATGGGATTCAAAGGCACGGCAGTACATTGAATTACACAAAGAACCATCAACAATTGAAGAGGCAGTACAGCAGGTAGCTGCTTATATGTCAGTCACCTCCAATATGACCACAAATGAAGAGAGACGCCCTATCAGGCAGGCTAAGCCTTACGGAAAGGGAGACGATCATTATACTGGGAAGGGAAATACAAATTCCATGGAGATGACGAAAGGGAATTGCTTTATTTGCAGCATGCCCGGACATTATGCCCGAGAGTGTCCGGATAGAAATTTTCACAGGACAGAGAGATCACAGTACAGGAAATCTCCAGAAAAAACTATGTCATCATCTCTACCAAGTACAGATGAACAGCCAAACACAAGTCAAAGCCAAGCTACAAGTACCATGTCACCTGATGCACCAGAATTTCAACCAAGTCATCAATCTAGATGGAATGTAGACTTGGATAACGATTGCGGAGACAAACAGGAGAAACTTTTAAACTAGAAAGGGTCAGCTCCGGAGGCCAAGAGACGACCCAAAGTAACAAAGGCCAAAATGACTGTAAAATTTTAACTGAACCTATTTTAAGTGGAAATTTAGATGAATCGGGGGAGAAAATTGAAAACCAGGGGAAATTCCAGCCTTGCGTCAGGGACGTTTCAAGGGAAGAGGAACTGAGTGCTCAGAGAGAGTACATTAGGAGACAGCTCCTCAAGGCGGATGGAATTTATGTTCAGGGAACAGTTCAAGGGATAAAAGTAGAGTTCACAGCAGACACAGGGGCTGCAAGAACTATATTATCCGACAAAATATTTTGGAGACTCCCCGGGAACAGAAGACCAGAGCTAAAGGAATCTTCAAGTCTTGTAGCGGTCAATGGAGATCCACTTAAGGTCTTAGGGAAGGCTGAATTTGCAGTGCAGTTAGGAAATCTAGCATTTCAAAGGGAGATAATTGTTGCGGAAATAGAAGATGAATGCCTCTTAGGTATGGACATCTTGTTGGACAGTCAATTTGGGCCTGCAGTAATCAATCTGAATGACAGTTTCATTTCTATGAATGGCTGTAATATACCTTTCACAAAGGCGAGTCGAATTCAAGACGGTGCTGGAAGATTCGTGTACAAGACCTTTGACAATGGCTAGCAGACCAGCGTTGATTAATCTTCAGTGAAGAAAATTAGTTAGAATGTGGTGTAAGTATGGTAAGAGTTTAGGTATACTTATGCACTTTGTAATTTTGCTTTTATCGTTGTATATTAAAAGAAAAATTTCTAACAATTGAAGTAATGTTAGGATTGTGAAACTGAGGAAATTATATGACTTTGTCTAGTGTACATTTTTTAATGTTAATTTATTATTGACGGATAAATGTATTGAGAAATTATCTGTTTGTATAGACAAATATTGTTGTTTTATATCTTAAGAATTTGGTGAGGACACCAAAGTTTTTAAGAGGGGGAAAATGTCATGATTGTGACAATGATGCCGATTGTTTTATATAGGATTCGTGTTACCCTGTTTGTACATTGTACTTTCCCCCATTTGTAGATCGCATAATCGGTTACATTTCTTATTATTGATTCACTGTACTTACGTATCTAGAAGAACATAATCTTATGATTATAATTTTATTATCCTGGATTAATATCAGTATTGTAATACGCTAGATTTGTTGTAAATATCGTTTCTAACTCTGTAACTTTATTTATAGAAACCGCCATCATGATGGTTATTTTGTGGAATATCACGCCCGATTCTAATTGTTATTTCTCTGTACTAAGCATTTTTATCGAAATTTAATACTTAGGGGATATTGTCATATTGTGTAATTGTTTTATATTATAATTGTCACATGTGTTATGTGGATTATCTATTGTTATTATTAAACATTATTTGACAATGATTATTGCCGGTGGCTGCCGGTGACTGCCGGTGGTACCGAAGATCTGCCGGTCGTCCCTAGGGAAGCGCGT